AGGTTTGCGGAATTCCCTCGGGCTTCGCCCTCGGGAATTCCGCAAACCTGCCTCGGGTTACGGGGCCATTTAATCACTAATCTCCCTCAAGCCATGCTATTACTTATAATAAGCACATACCCCGCCCCCTTTCTTGTGCAGTCGGTCTAAACGATGTAGCTTATAACCTTCGATTTCTATTTCCTTGTTTGTGACGGAGGTATTTAACCATGTCTCTGATGCTGTAAGGACGTCAATTTTGTTAAATTTGGTAAACTTACGTAATTCTAAAAAATGGGCGTTATTTTTCAGAGAGCGGATGTTTAGGTGGACCAGTTTGAGACCTGGAAGGGTACTGAGGCTGTTATCTGACTTTTTTGTTAAATGGGCTGAGGCCGTATCATTAGTGGTTTTCGATCGTGGACCACGAGAGTGCGGAAGCGTTTGGAGAGGCAGGGTTGGACAAAGGAACACGAACAAGATTTCTATTTTGCAAGTTATTGTTAACACTAGAAGAATTATTAATGGTTAGTTGATATGATAGTCTCTGACGTGATGGTCTCTGACGTGAAGTGATTCTGACAGGTATTTTCATCATATTGTCTGCTGCTGACTCGTCAAACAGGCCACTGAGTGGAGATGGGCCAACCACTCTAGAGAGTGGTGGCGGTGGGCTGTCCGATACGAAGGAATGACACGACAACGTTTTAAAAAAGGATACCGGCTACAATGGTGCCTTCGAAACCCTAAGGGGTTTGTAACTTGACCGTGTCTAAGACTTGAGGGTCTCGGGGTTGGAAGATGAGGGAACGAAGAATGCTTTAGATTTGACTCGCTGATTGACCTATCCGATCGGGGATTCACCTGGTCAGGGTTAAGGGCATCAAGGCTTAACACGGTTTTTGCATAGGATCGGTCGCAATTCCTACATATGCCTTGCTTCCTACGTTGCTTGAAATGTTGACACCCATCGGATAAATCTTGCTCACGCTGATCTAATTCATTTTCGTCAAAAGTGAGGTTTGCAGAAACATCTTCGATTATACTTAGATCTTCGCATAAGGGCAAATAGTTTAAAACATTCTTAGCCTGAAAAGGCTCGCGGTTCAGGCTTAATGAGTAATCTTTTTTGAAGGAGTTGATTGTAGTCTTAGATTGTTGTGTGGATAATAGGGCATTGTTCTATATTTCAATGATAACTGTAGGGAAACTTTCCTCAGCGAGCAGGTTATCTACATTAACTGAGGTTGATAATGCACCAGATGGGTGATTTATTTTAGTTGATCCATCGTGTTGGGGATTTACATTGTCAGGACTGTTAAAGGACTTCTTATCTTGTAAAGATGGCTTTGAGGGACTTGAAAAGGTTATGGAAGCCGAGTCTTTAATCATCATTTTCTCCTCTAGGTCGGTAATGCGTGACTTTAAATTCAAATTTTCGTTTCCTAATCGGCACAGCTCTTGTTTATTTGTGTCAATAATATGATTTTGTTCAGACACTTTAGTCAACAATTTTTCTATTTGCGATTCTATTTTTTCTTTAAATGTAAGGAGTTGTGCCTCGGCTATAGTCGGGATATCATCAGCTCGTTGTTGAAATGGTGTAGAAAAGCTGGCTGTCTGAGCAAAATTCGGCGTGGCTGCGGCATTCGCAATATAATATGCGCTATCAATGAAGTCCTCAAGTTCTTCGAGTGACGAAGTGTCAGCAATCGATTCAAACCCCATATCTTTGGCTTGAGTATTGTACGAACAATTGTGAGTTAAAGGGGCCATGTCCTCAAACACACGGCCATTACCAACGATATGTTCGCCTTCGACCGACATTTTTGTAGTTGTTTGGATTAAACTATCCGAGGTCGTATTTGTTTGCTTAATAACGCAATTTGTGTCTAATACGCTCACTAGAAATTCCTTGAAAGATTTGCCTTTCTTTCCATTGAAAGTCAAATAGTTTTGTTTGCCCGGGTACCAAGTCATAATAAAATCAGAGCTTAAGTTTATAAACTGTTTGGCTTTACCGCCAGGCGACGTCCATTTACCCGTTAATCCGACAACATTTTCGGCAAAAGTCCTTAACGAACAGAGGTCGTTTGTCCATTTGAGACGGATCCCATCATAAACTAGATGACCTTGATTGTTTAACAACTTTATGGAGTTCATATCAATAGTTTCAGGACTAAAATTTTCAAGTTTAGTTGAGGCCATAATTAAACCATGATTGCTTTTAATTTTCAAAATATTTTATTACCGAAATACTTATGGTAACTATATAGGTTATTATGCGTGGTGTAAGCTTCAATTTAATATGAAATACAACGACCTATATACTGTAACGCTTCATAACTGTTTTGGTTTATTTATAAAACTCAACAGTTTTTATCGATGAACTTCGTGTTTGAAATAAAACCATTTTATGCCATAGAATTCTGTCATTTTCATAATAGAAATACAGTAAGTTAATGTTTATTCATCCAACAAAACCTACCTTGTATATATAATATTTTATTTTAAAGTGTTTTTGTAAACTTGGTGTTTCAAAGAATTACAAAAGAAATGCTAATTGTTTGTTTCATTTTGCAACAAACTCAAGGTAAATGGTGATTCAATAGCAACGATCGATGTGCCGGAAAAATATATAGGTATTGTAATGGGCAAAGAACGTAGGAATATAGCGAAGATTGAAACAAAATCAGCAACCGGAATCAAAGTTGCTTCTGTCCAAAACGCTGAAGGTACAGTATATAGGTTAGAATCATTTTACATTGAAAATAAACTTTTTGTTTGCGTGGAATTTCCAGAAAAATTTCCTGTGAGCAACGAACGCCAGCTATAAATTGCCTCTTGGCAAAGGCTTTTTAATGTAAGACATGTTTTTGCTCGCCCGCATTCTGGTTATTAATTAATTAAGTAATTAATTCGGTCGCACTGCAAGTGTCTGCATTAAGGGTGAGCTTAAATGGCAACGCAGATCCTTAAACAAACTTGAGCAATGATGTCATTGGCCAACACACAAGTATCCCCGAGCCACGCGCGTAGCGCTCGAAGCTTGTAGCGAGAGTACTAATTCAGCTCGGCTATTTATATATACCCTGGAAAAGGAAAACTAGGGTATTGAAAACTTAATCCATGATCGTGGGGGCGTGCCTATGGTCATAGGCAAATGGGTGGTCGTCTCACTGATCTAAGAAATATTGCCGTTTGCCAGGAGTGAAGGAAGCAAAGATTTTAAAAACATATGTAAGAAAACTTGGAAAATCATTTCACACAATAAGTTGTAACACATTTTTTTTAATTTTTAAAGAAACGATAATAATTGATTTAGTATGGGAAATTCTGAAGTACAGTATATGCCAAGCAGCCTAGACCTATAAAGCCTTCTATTTATATTTTGCACATTTCGGCGCTTTCATGTAAGAAGTCTGGAACCTAGGAATTTGGGAGCGGGTTCCGCCCATAGATATAGGAGATCTAGATTGCTAACGCATACCTAGCGCTGGCGGGGCCTACATGATAAATCCAAGATGGCGGTACAACAGGGCAAAAAGACTATAGATTATATTACGAAAATCACGATTTTTTTGCAGTTTTTGCCGCCGCATTGTTTCGAAACTTATTCGATCAAGTTTTATGGCAAAGAGAAACTTACCGCGAAGATTTTGAGCATATATATGATGGAATTGGATGAAAACTCGCAAAATTATCCATCGATAAAAGTTTGTGTGAAATGGTCACTTGGTCAGTTTGAGCGTTTCATTGCCAGAAATACTGTGCTATGTTAACATCTAGCCTTGTGAATGGTGTTTTATACTGTTTAAACGTGAAATCGAGTTTAGGATCATAACTTCCCGCCGTTGTGAACGTAAGATTGGTTTTAACGTCAAAACACACCATTTAATATTTTTATAGTTTGCTAGTCGTTTCCAAAAAGGATGAGTTCAGACTACCATAGCTCTTGAAAGAAATCATGCAAGGCTGGGTGGCATGGAAGAGCATGATTGACCATATGTGTGATCAGGCAAGGAAGGTTGGCTGTTATTCTCCACAACCAAGGGCAAGGCTGCAGCACACTTGCCAATGTTCAGACAATTGGTTATCATCTGACAATATATTCACATGTATGGCAAACTCAACATGAGTGGAAAAATTAATTTAAAAAACGACCACACATTACGCAAGAAATTTCAGTATTAATAGAAGATCTAATGATTCATTTTCTAACAGGGCTGTCCAGGGGAGCCAGAGGGCAGTTAGGGCAATTTGCAACCGCATGGACCCCCAAAAAGCTCTGGGCAGCTCTGTCTTCTAATACTTGAACATTAACTCAATAGTTAAATATTTCATAACATTTTAGTGAAAATATGATGAAAATATTATTGTGAAACAATGTTAATTAAGGACTGCTACCAGTATGTCATTGCCATGGTCAGGAAGGGGCTGGTCATTACATAGCGGGGATAGTTATGAAACATATTATCAAGTACATTGCTTGTAGAAACAATTCAATGTAACTTTAATAAACAAATTTCTAGTATCATGGCCATGGTGTTAAACAATATTATACATTTTTTCTGTGTTTGTGTTGTGTACTCAGGTGAATAATATGTTTGTGATGTTACTGTGAGTGTATATCCACAGCTGACCGTGTAGCTCAGTTGGCAGAACATTGGGTTAGTATTCCAACTGTCGTAGGTTCGATTCCCACCGTGGCCGGGCATATTTTTCAAGCTTGCCTGGTGTGGATACACATTCAGAGTAACATCACAAACATCATATTATATATAGTACTATATATGTAACTTGTACAGTTTTGCTTTTTTGCTCACTATTTGCATAAAAAGCAATTATAACAGACCATAGATGATAGACCCTCATCCAGTGCCCTCATCTTCCTCAAACAAGCAATGGGGGAGATAACAGTTCATTTTTCATAATTATGGGAGAGAGCAGATGATGACGAGAGATGACAATGGGGGCAGGTCAGTTAAAAAAGAGCTTATATACAATTGAACAACTCCTTATGTTCTAAAATATTATACAATACTGCACTTCAAAAAATATATGTCAATCTTGTTACTTGCCACAGTTTCTTACAAGAATTGGGGCTAGCTGGCTAGGGACCTAACAGAAACCACATGGCTATCATTTAAGGCCCCTATTCCTTAGATCATATATTTACAATAATTAAAATATAAAATGCCAGTTCATATGTTTATAAAATACAATTCCAGTGAAGTATTATGCATACTGAAAAATCCAAAAAAATGTGATCATTAGCTAAATGACAGGAACAATATTAAACACAATTATAATTTTATATTGAAATAATATATAGTTACTGTAAGCATGGACTTTTATCCCAAAACTATCAGCTACCGGATACCTATCTATAAAAGACGTAAAAACATAAATCCATTCAAAATACACTAAACAATCTTGACTGGACAGTATAAATACAATATGTCCATTTCATGGTTCCAAGTCTTGGGCATTTTTGACCTGAACGAATACGACTACCACAATTAATTCTCATGATATTTCTCTACATCTTTCACAATGTTTGTTGCAAGTATAAAACACCATTCACAAGGCTAGATGTTAACATAGCACAGTATTTCTGGCAATGAAACGCTCAAACTGACCAAGTGACCATTTCACACGAACTTTTATCGATGGATAATTTTGCGAGTTGTCATCCAATTCCATCATATATATGCTCAAAATCTTCGCGGTAAGTTTCTCTTTGCCATAAAACTTGATCGAATAAGTTTCAAAACAATGCGGCGGCAAAAACTGATTTTCGTAATAGAATCTATAGACTTTTTGCCCTGTTGTACCGCCATCTTGGATTTATCATGTAGGCCCCGCCTGCGCTAGGTATGCGTTAGCAATCTAGATCTCCTATATCTATGGTTCCGCCCCGTGACGCCATTGAAATCGATTAACCTGCAAATCAAGTGCTGTCTGCCGAGTAAAGGCCCTAGGTCTAGGCTGTAGGGTAAGTTTGTTTTGACTGTTTATGTGCAACTTTGTTGTTCAATTTTTGCCTAAATAATGCCCTTTATTGTGTGCGAAGGTTTTTAAAAATAATTGTTTCAATTTTTTATACAACCGCAAAATAAAATAGAGAGCAACCTGTATGATTTAAATTTATTTCATTTCATAGCACGAATATAAGTCGATAAGTGTATCAGCAAAACGCAATTAATTTCAGTGAACATTTAAAACGTTTTGCAGAGAGTTTCTTGCTGAATTTTATATTAAAGTATGGGGTGTAAAATAGCGACATACCTATACTTAGAAATTGATAGTTCTATAGTTAAGGTGCTAAAATTTCATTTAGTTTTTACTGTTTTGTACAAAAATTTAAAAAAAAACAATGATCGTGTTTTGATCGTGTTGCCATGGGTGACATGACACGAACAACGTGAGTTTCTTAGTGTTGGCATAATTAAGAATATTTTATGTTAAGAAATATATAGGCGAGGGGTTGTTGCATACTTGCATGCATGTATTTCTAGTATTTCGTACTAAGCAGAAATTATACCGTTTCTGAGCAAAGACTATATGAAAAGGGCTTCCACACAACCTTTCTACGTTGAATTTTTCCAGGTTTTCGTCGTTAATTGGCTGAGATTATGTGCAGCAACAAAATTTTCAATGTACGACGTAACATTTTCATACTGCTGTGTAGACTGCAGAATTGTATTTTATGTCCAATAACAATAATGTAATTTACATAACGTACTTATTCTTTGGTTCATCTAACTTACTTTTTTTAAAAGGTTTCAGGCAAAGTAAAAGTAAAGGATGGGTCGGGTTGTGCCCTATCCACTAACTTCCTTTCGTCTATTAGGGGGCCAAATTTTGCATCTCTACTAGGGTTGGCGAGTGAATGGATGTGGTCATGTGGACCCAATACGCACTCAGAAACTTTAAGCCCAGAAAAGACAATATCACCTTGAATGTGCTTACTAGCCTATAGTATGCATTTCAAATTTTCGGCAAATTTTACGTACTGTATAGCCCATCTGCTAGTGTCCCAAAACATTTAGTTTCATTGGACACTTCGCTAAGGCTAAGCTACAGTACACAAAATTTACGAATTCTTACAGATTAAAAAACGCTGAATCGAAATAATTATAAGAAGAGCTTGCCGATACACTGGTGGCCCACAACTCTCACATCAATAACAAACAGTTCACAGCATTAACAAATTGCTCACATCAACAACATATTGCTCACATCAACGTCAAATAGCTCACATCAACAACAAATAGCTCACATCATCAACAAATAGCTCACATCAACAACAAATAGCTCACATCAACACAGAATAGAGAAGATACAGCAGAAGCGTAACTCTAGTCGTTTCCCTTATTGTTTTACGTCCACGAAAATTTTAACTCGCTCACGCCAATCCACGTCATCCTGGCTAGTACAGCCGGAAGTTTTTATCAGGTTTTGGTAGGTACAAAGTGCTGGTTGTACTAGCCAGGATGGCGTGATTGATGACGAATCGCTTGTAAAAACGCGGACAAATACTTGCTTGAGTTACGCTTCTGGTATACCTTCCTATTCTGTGACATCAACAACAAATAGCTCACATCGTGGCGTTGGTACAGCGGTTTTATTTTTAATCAACTATATCGTTACAACATGAAGTTCTTTACTCGGGCGCCCACGTCACTTTTCCACGCCGTCCAGTCAAATTTTCCTGGAAAAATTTATCAATTCACAGTGCATGATCATAGCCATATCGAAGTGGACACGCGAACTTTAATATATGTATAAAAGAAACGATTTACATAACGAAAGGCGGAAATGTTTTGTCCTAATTGTGGCAAGGAAGCAGAAGATGGTTCAAATTTTTGTGTGAAGTGCGGAAAAGGTTAGTAAAACTTTTTAATCGTAATAGCTATTAATATAAACACAGCATGAGCATGCGCCACTGCACGTGCGATGGACATTATCATTGACCTGTGGGTTCAACTTTACTTTCTCTTATATTCTGTTATTTTTACATATGAATATTGTAGAAGATATACAATAATAAAGTCCGATTTACTACATTCAGTAACCCGAGTTAATTAATAGGAATTCCTCAATTCCCTGGCCATAGCCATAATAATTCAATGCCCATATCACAGAAAAGGGCATTTCTAGGGTTCTAATTTTCAAAATTTTCTGCGGGCATACCCTTGGACCCCCTAGGGAGCTCGCGCCTTCGGCGCTTGAGTCGTTAGGAAGCCAGTTCATTTTAAAGAATTATAAAGTAACACTCTGCTGCTCGCCCAGCACCCCCCTAAAAAAACCTTGCTGGATCCACCCCTGTGATAAGGGAGTGTTCATTAATTATGGGCAGGGGGGGTTGGTAAGTGGGGAAAATAATGAGTTCTAATGGCAAGAATTCCTAATCAGGGCCGTGCCAAGTGGTTTTTGGTTGGGGGGGGGGGGGG